AAAGGTGGGGAGGGGTGAGGAAGGATTCTTCAATTGGAAATCGAACTCATTCTGTGATTAATAGGGAAAGATGCCAGGATTAATTTGCTTATTCGTTTGATGGTTTGTTTGTTTTTGGCTACCTACTGCGTTCTGAAAACACGGATCGTAATGCATTGTACGAGAAGCCGTGTTAAATCTTTTCCTGTCTTTCGAATGTCCGTATTACATTCTAATTCATCTTCTTAGTGCCTGGCTAATTACACTCAAAATGTGAGACACGTGATCACAATGACAGGCTCCAGAAATATAAAAAGCAAGTACAAGTACCGTCGTTTTGTGAAACAAAATAATACCACAAAGAACCAGGATGTTCCCAAGCCAGCATGGAAAGCAAAGAGCCGCGGTATCTCTGATGTAAACTTCAGAGAGAGAGGACGCATACCAATAGCCCAGAAAGTTAATCAGGATAATTTGTTTTTGGAAACACACTCACATAATTGACAACTAACTGAGAAATCCATGTCTATTTGTTTGAGTAAAGAGAAGCACATCGACATAATAATGGTCACTTACGGCTGGGGAAAAGTAAGACAGACAGACAGAAACAACAGAGAGAAAGTAAAGAAATAAGACCTGCTAGTGGTGCCCTCCAACCACCCACACGCAAGCCTTGTGATGGCTTCAAAGAAGAAAAAGAACACAATTAGCTGTCTGTGTATGACACAGCGGCTAAAAACATCTCGTTGTGGTCTGTGGATCCTTACGTTACCTTTCATAAAAGTGTAGGCTGTTCAGATATTATCATTAAAAGAAACTGCGGCGTCTCAAGACACAGCCCCGCCCACATAACCGTGATTGGCGCGTTATATTTACCAGCGAAAAGTAAACAAAGCAACGTGCGCTATTGTTGGTATACAATGGATTCTTAATGGGTCGACTGATGGACAACTGCAAGACGGTAAGCGAGGATGGTACTTCGGTCTTCGTTCCTACAAGCCCTTGCGTTAGTGTGTGCGTGTGTGTGTG